TGGAAAAATCCTTAATTTACGCATTGAATCTCCGGTACTTGATGTAATCCTTGCCGGAGGAACTTGAGCCGATGGCCAATCCATAAATGAAAACCACGTGCAGAGGACACAGGTATAGATCAAACGATCCGGGCGTCCTTTCACGTTTTATAAACTTCTCAATTCCTGCCATCAGCCATGACATTTACTTTGTTACTGTTTGCAGGGCACTTATACGTTCAATAAGTGTATCAACATAGCACAAAGCCGGCATTGGTATCCATGGGCTTCTCTAACGATCTAGACGCCTCGTTACGCTACTTTCTCTGGTGGGATTTATGTAATTTACGGAGGTACCTTTGATGCTACAGGCAACAGGTAATACTGTGTCTGCTACCGAGGGGAGGATTTTTTTTTTCCTTTTCAACGCCAAGACTATGGTAATTGGGTGGTTTTCTTCAGGAAGAACCGTTTCGTCAATTAAAATTGAACGTACTCATCTTTGATTCATTGATACTCGAGGAGCCGCCGGCCATTTAGTGAATGTTAGTCGAATATTTTTCATCGGAATTCGTTTCTTAATCTGTTGGTTAAAAAAATCGTTTAATCATCAGAATTTATTTATTTTCGTGGGAATTACAGACTGAAATTTTAGAAAATACGAAATCAATGATTTTACCTAATTTTTCAAAGATTCTGATTTTTCATTTTTTTACAATTTTCGAGACGTCCGTTTGAAAGACATTTTTGAAATTTCCAATTTCCAATATTCCATATTCCGAAATTTTACAATTTCTCGGCGTGTCCATATCGCCCAAGGCTCCCCTAATTAGCCGCGAAAAAGATTTCGTAATTGTCTCGTCATAAAAACTGGTTCCTAAAGGTATATACCTGAAGATAATTGATGAATTGATAAAAAAAGACCTTCAATAACTTAAAAAAATTATTATTTCAACACGATGATGAATTTGAACAATCGATCAGCCGATCAATTACTTCCGCAATGCGATCCCATTATCAGATCCTCTTAGCCCAGACGATTTTTCCCTCGACTGCAGATCAGCCTGACACATTTCCAATCGATTAATCCCTCGCGATCTCCTTCACATTTTCTTTGATTATCACTCCTTCAATATCATCTGACACGCGTTGTCGTAAACATCACGATTACGCGTTGCACCGTAGGCATTCGATATTCAAGGTGTGGTGCTTTCCTAGAGCCAAATGACCCAACATCAGTTCCGGTTCTAGGAGTTATTCCCCGAAACTAAAATCTCCCAGACAAAATCCCCTGATAAAAAATCTCCTGGACGAATTCCTCCAGAAATAAGGATAAAAATAAATTAATAAAGTTATACGTTGGACGGCTTATTAATTTTGCAATCACTTGGAAAGACCTAATTGAAAAAATAATGTTCTGAAAAATATATATTTCTCTCAAGTAAAATTTCTCGTTACCCCATGTTCACATCTCCCGATGACTTCACGAAGACTATCCCAGGAAATACAACACTCGAACCAAGATCCATGTACATCGTACTCATGTATCGTTAGCATGATTTATAATTGGCCATTGCAAGGATAAAATGCGTGAACATGCTCGTACCTTAGAGCGCATGTAAAACTAAAAGTGAAAAGCCGTTGCGTTATTATTCCTCGTGCTTTCAGTCTTGTACTCAACTGCAGTTTTACATTGTAATTTCAAATTAGATGGAATATGAATCGAATTATGACGTAAATCTGATTTCCTGAATGCCAGCGGCTCAGGGAAGCGTTTCAAACAAAACTTGGGAGATACCTTGACCGAACGTTCTACAATGTTCACTCATTCGTCGGGAATTTAATGAATTATAAGTTCAAGAACCCGACGAATCGGTTAAGTGTCCATCAGCTGATCTCAGTTAAATTGATTAATTTTTTCATAAGTTCTGGAATAATTGTGGATTAAATATTGTGTCTTTGCCGAATAATTTCAACTCCTAATAAATATTTTAATCATAAGGAATCTCCGATTTTTTATTATTTTCTGTAACCAAGTGGAAAATTTTTGCCAATCGAAGTAAAAAAAATGACTAAATTGCGGCAAAAAAGTTGTTTGATAAATCCTGAGCGAAAAATAAATGGAAATATCTCAAACAGGGCCTTATGAATTTGTTCACTTCATAGACCCATTTAAAAATTCAAGTGGACTATTTCCTGTATGTCCCCCCGTTCTTCCGAACCTGATGCAACCACCAAACAATTCCACCATTTTTTTTCCTCTTCAGGTACGCGTGGGAAGACCCAACCTAGCCTTGGATATTTTTCAAATAGTAACCTCCCCGATTATCCAACTAATCAGCCCGTTGGTCTGTCTATTAAAGGAAGTACACGTAAGATGAAATTCCAGGGTGTGGCCTACTGGCGTCTTTCACTCTTTCTTGACACGCAGGTAACAGCTCTCGATTTCTTTCAACAAACGCACAACCGGCGGAATAAATAGAGCGACAAGGTCGCGCACTCGCCTTCATTCGAGAGTTGGTGATTAAAAAAAAATTGGAAAATGGCGATCCAGTTATTCTAGCCGATTATTATTCAACAGTGAGAAAGACTTCCGTCTGGAAAATAGAACAGGATTCGAGGCGTTGAAATCCATTTTATTACACACAAATCAATTTCTGGGACTTTTATTAATTTCATTCGGGTCAATCATTAATTAGTCACTGGAGAGGGGTAGATTGTACTATTTACAGGTTTTTTAGGGAGAGGGAAGGGGAATCATTTCTTTTTTCGATATTGAACGGTGTAAGACGAGGTGTCGATGTTGCTCGGTTGGTTGTACCTCTTGTACTGCGGGTATTGCACCTCCGGCTGTACTCGTTGCGCAGGTTCGTACTGCTGATAACTAGAATATCTGCAATGCAATGAGCAAAAAATTTTATTGATTATTTTTGCCGATCAAATTCTGGCTAATCAAGGGGCTCATGAAGTTTCCCCCAGAGAAATGGCTGACTTAAATCAAATAGAAGTCTTTCTAATTAACATTTCGATAATATCGATATCGCGATATCGAATCGATTTTTCGAATAAAAAGATACAACTTCATATGCAAGGAATTCTTCAGTCATTATCGAGTAATATTCCACAGAATATTTCCGTTGCATACACGAAGAGAAATTTATGGTTGAAAAAATTTCCGTAACAGATAGTAATTTCGGAGGGTAATAACAAAAATTTCACAACGCTCAGCAAAAATTTCCGTTCACACAATTTGAACGGAATATGACGTAAGTGTCACTCAGATTTTCTAGTGGAAATTCGTGAATTGACTATTTTTTCACTATTTGGATTATTTTTTAAATGAATAGTGCAATTTTTCAACGGTTTGCCTTGATTGGTCGAATCGGTCATCAACCGGTGAATAGCACCAAAAATGAAAACGAAAAATCGGTTTTTTTCGTTTCGAGTGTTTTTACCATTT